ATTATGGTTTTTCATCAGTTATATATACACTCTATATAATGATTTCGGCATTAAATAATTGTATGTGAAACCATTATTTATATAAAATGATGTACATGCATTATATACATATAATGAGTTTTCTGCGAACAATTACATATAAATAATTGGTGGAGCGATTTTCCTTATTCATAAATGATATGCGGTTAAAATAATTAATTATAAATACTGACTTTGAGTAAAATCATTATTTATATATAATGACTATTGGCACTTAAATTATTTATAAATAATGTTTGGCTAGTTCAAATTATATATAAACAATGTTTTGCCAGTTTAAATTATTTATAAATAATGAAAATTGCTCCACCAATTATTTATATATAATTGTTAGATGCAAAATTAATTATATGTATATAATGAACAAATGTTAAATTATATATTAAATAATGAAGTATATGTGTATAATTTTGTTAAATAATGGAAGTACATTTGGTGCCTCATACAGTTTCCAGTTTTATTTTCCATAGAATGATTTAAATATGATTATAAACAATATGGAAGGATGACCAAAAAAGAGCAAAGCTCGTACATTTTTTGGCCACCTATAGAAATAAAGATAATTTAAACAATTTAAAAAAACAAACACTGTCGTTTTGTTTAACATTAGCAACAATATTCTAGGGGCGGGGCTTAGAGAAAAAGTCAACTGATTCCGGAGCTAAAAAGACGCCCACAACACATTGCTCTGCAATTGATTTTGGAGCTAAGTATATCTTGCACCGTTATTCGGATTGATGGATGAATTATGTCATGATTTCTGAAAGATCTTGAAGAAGCATGCTAGGTCTATTGTGTAACACTAATTGCAATAGGATATACTGTGATAACCTTTAGCTTCAAAATACGTACCATTTGTTTCGCATTGATTCCCTGTGTAGTCGACACGACAACTGAAAATATAAAAGACATCAGAATGCTAAACACAACCATTTTCCATAACTGAGGGTGAGGTAGCGCAGTGATGAGTGAAGAGTAGGGATAGTCTCATAGCGTGCTGGTCGTGGTAGACAATAATGCGGCCCCGAGGGCCCTTATGAGCTTAATCTGAATTTCTGTGTTGGTTTTCAATAGACCATTATTATGTATTTACATTAATTTTCTTTACGAATTTCTTTACTCTCAAAATTGCAGAATGATTACTATTCTGACTTTAATGTCTTCTGTTTAAAACAATTTAAAAATGCTCACCTGCAAATTGGAACCGTATTCTCTAGTGTGATGAAACAAGTGCCTCCATTTTGGCAATAGTTTGCTGGGCAGAAAACTGAATCGCATCTCTCTCCATTAAAATACTCCGGACATCTGTAAAATACACAAGGTGGTAGGAAAACCCATGTTTAAGAATACATCTCCAGGACGCTATTTAGGAGAATGTTTATTTTATTTTTATCTTATTTTATTTTAATCATATTATACAGGATACAATTTCAGACAAGTTGTAACAATCTGAATCAGAATGATTGCAATTCCTGGTTGATTAATCTTGTTTTTAAAACAATTTAAAAATGCTCACTCACCTACAAACTGGAACCGGATTTTCTAGTGTGATGGAACAATTGCCTCTATTTTGACAATAGTTTGTTGGGCAGGCGACTGAATCGCATCTCTCTCCAGTAAAATACCCCAGACAACTGTAAAATACACAAGGTAGAAAAACCCATGTTTAAGAATACATCTCCAGGACGCTATTAAGAATGTTTATTTTATTTTTATTTTAAACATAATTATACAAGATACAATTTCAGACAAGATGTAACAATCGGTTTTTTAAAATGGTTATGGGGGATTCCCCCTCCCTTGTCCTCCCCTAGAGCAGCCACTGAGTTTCTGACGTGCATAAAAAAACAGAATACATCAAATATATACTTTTTATCAAGTAGGCCTACCTCAAAATAACAATAATGTATTATCCTATTAAGAAAAATATCTGTTAAAATATTATGCTGAGCGTATACAAATAAATTAATATTTGACGATACATTTACAGGGCATTATTCAGTATTAAGGAGTATTCTATATAGTAAATATTAAGAACATATTCTGCAACGGTCACCAGTGAACTTAAAAGCACAACTGGAAGTAAAACCAGAACAATAATTTCATATTAATATTCACACTAGCAACATCCTTGTTAAAATACAATTTATAACAGTTGTATCATTCTCAATAGTTACGGTACCTGCACGTTCTTTCCAAAAGAGAATTTATAGAGCAATTGCCACCGTTATAGCAATAATCGTCACAAACGATAGGTAGATCTAAAAAAAAACAAAAAAAAAACCAGAAAATACAGATTAAGCTAGGAAATATTTGTTTTTGATGACATTAAATAAATATACACAACAATATAGTGCGAAAGCTTAAATTGGGAGATGGGGTGGGTTAAGTAGGAGCGCAAACTTATTGAAAAAATAAAGTGATACGCTATGAAGTAATTTAAAATAGTTAATATTTTTATTGGCTTAGGAAATTTACAGTTGGGATGCCTTGGCGCAAGGCTCCCTTTTTTTAGGGATGGGAGGCAAAGTGCGCCATTTTAATGGACATGTTACTAATAAAATTATGCGAAATTAAGCAATAATTGCTTAATTTCTATTGTACTTACTTTCTCCAACTGCCTCATATGACAAATCTATGGTAATACTGCGCATGTCATTGTCCGAGTATAAGCGGTCATGTATATCTGTTTCGTTGTGAATTAATTGCAGTAATTCGTCTCCCTGCATCGTTGTATTAGAAAAGAAATTGACTTGGTAGACAACTATTATACTTCCTTCTTTAAATCCAATGATTGAACAATTGTAAAATTCCGTCGATGTACTCAGAATCGCACTGTAGGTATGAGTCACCTAGAGAAAAACAAATTAACCCGTGAGTTAAACGTAGTTCTATAATCAGGCCTACATAATAATATGTATTTTTTTCTCTCTCTATTGGCGTATCACTTATTCACATCAAATGTGTTAAGCTTTGTCTACACTATCAAATTTTATGTGACAAAAATGTGATGTGCCCATATATGGGTACGATGACGTCATATCACGTATCATCAAATTGTATAAAAAAAAAGTTGAACGTGTTCCACTGTATGTTCCATCAAATTTTAAGTGATGCTTTTTTTATGAAATTTGATAGTGTGGACAAATCTTTATGGTTAAGCTCCGAAAAAGACTTACAATTATGCACATGTGTTCCGCGTATGATTGATAAAGTTCTGACGTCGGGTCTTCTAACTGTGGATCCCAGGCTGCCATTTCCTCTGATGTGTTTATTGCCACAACGCGTATTTCACCACGGAAAGACGTAACAGCCAGGCAACTGGAGGAAACTGCCACATAACCATCATTACACACGCACGTATAATCTCCAACCGAGTTGATGCACATTTCATTATTTCCACATGGGTTGTCATTACATTCATTATAATCTTATGAAATTAAAGTAATGTAAATCATAAAATTAATTAATTAATTCAATCATATCAGCACCTAAAATGAATTATATTGCATTTCTCATTCACAAGGGTCAAAATAGTCTGAACATTAAAACATTTTAAATTAATAAAACTGACTAAAGTCTCATTTTTTAAAATTATTAATTACACGGTTTTTTTAAATTGCATGTTAATTTTAGTTATTAAGATTAGATCGGTTGATCAATCAATAAATCAAGTAACCAATCAATCAATCAATTAATCAGTCAATCAATCAATCGATTGATTGATTGTTTAATTGAATATATAAATTTAACTCACCAACACATATGTCATTTGATAACACATATCCATGGAAACACGTCTGGCACGTGTACTGCTCGTTGCCTAGGTAAACGCACTCAAGGAACAGTCTTGCTGTACAGTTGTCGGTATTTTCTGCGCAGGGATTGCTTTCTGAAATGTATATAGAGTATATAGGCCTATATATGTATATAGAGTATATATATAGAGTATATATGTATATAGGCCTATATATATATATAATAATAATAATAATAATAATAATAATAATATTTTTAGGCGCTCTAGTTTTGCACTTGTATCGTATCAAGTGACGATACAACCGCTCATGGCACGTTTATTTACACTATCGTTGAAAAGGATTTCATTCAATAAAAGGTTTTTTTATATAATTATAAAGTGTAAAAACCCCAAAAGTTGATGTCATTATTAATTAGGGGCCAGCTTTCCATAATATTTTACTGTGGAACATCCAGAACAGAGACAAAATACTTGCCAGAATTATCAAAATTATTCTCAGTTTTTAGTAAAAATTATATGTACATCCGACTAGCTAGTATTCATACCTAGTTCTTGAATTTCAATCGTGTCCCGTACAATTTGACTGTCAGGCTTAAGGATATCCATATTTGTACCAGTTAAGCCGTTTAAGAAAACTTCAAGAAGTTGCTCATCTGTTATGTTAAACTGATCATTGAAGCTGACGCTAAATGTAATATTCAAGCCACTGCCATCTTCGAAACTACCGATCACATCGGTTACAGTACCGTAGTAATATTCTGCAATAGTACTCATCGTAAAGAGGGTATCCATCTATGAAAATAATCCAATGTATCATCTTACAATACACCACTATGTTAATAGTTTTATTAATTGAGCATAAATTCCGCAATGTTTGTTTGCAGCGTGTATTGTATATATATATATATATATATATATATATATAT